TGTGGCAGGCGTCCTGCATATAAAGTAGAGAAAGATGGGCATGGATGTTAGCCCAGGGCCAATCTTCCTCAGCAAAAAGAGGAGGATTGGCAGCAGATGTCAGCTCAGGGCTAATCTTCCTCACACACACAAAAAAAAGTGGACAAAAGCAAATGGAAAGATATTCCAGGTTCATGGATTGAAAGAATATTGTTAAAATATTCATACTCCCCAAAGCAATCTACAGATTCAATGCAATCCCTATCAAAATTTCATGGCATTTTTTACAGAAATAGAACAAATAATCCTAAAATGTGCATGGAAGCACAAAAAGACCCCAAATAGCCAAAGCAATCTTGAGAAAGAAGAACAAAGCTGGAGGCATCACGCTCTCAGACTTCAAACTATATTACAAAGCTATATTAATCAAAGCAGTATGGTATTGACATAAATAAAGACACATAGATCAATGTAACAGAATAGAGCCCAGAAATAAACCCATGCATATATGATCAATTAATTTATGACAAAGGAGGGAAGAGTATATAAGGGGGAAAGAACAGTCTCTTCAATAAATGGTGCTGGGAAAACTGGGCAGCCACATGCAAAAGAATGAAACTGAACTACTATATTACACCATACACAAAAACTAACTCATGTATCAAAAACTTGAATAGAAGACTGAAAACTGTAAAACTCCTAAAAGAAAACATAGGCAGTAAGTTCCTTGACATTGGTCTTTGCAATGAGTCTTTGGATCTGACTCCAAAAGCAAAGACGAGAGCAAAAAGAAACAAGTGGGATTACATCAAACTAAAAAGCTTATGCACAGCAAAGGAAATCATCAAAGAAATGAAAAGGAAACCTACTGAATGGGAGAAAATATTTGCAAATCATATATCCCATAACAGGCTAATATCCAAAATATATAAAGAACTCATAAAACTCAATAGCAAAAAACAAGAAAAATTCAATTAAAAAACCAGCAGAGGATCTGAATAGACATTTTTCTAAAGAAGACATACAGGTGGCCAAGAGGCACATGAAAAGATGCTCAACATCACTAATCATCAGGGAGATGCAAATCAAAACTACAAGGAAATATCACCTCACACCTGTTAGAATGGCTATTATCAAAAAGATAAGAAACAACAAGTGCTGGCAAGGATGTAGAGAAAAGAGAACCCTCATGCATTGTTGGTGGCAATGTAAATTGGTGCAGCCACTATGAAAAACAGTATAAAGTCTCCTTAAAATATTAAAAATTGCACTACCATATGATCCAGCAATTCCACTTCTGCCTATTTATCTGAAGAAAATGAAAACACTAGTTATATATCATAAATGAAAAGATATATGCACCCCCATGTTCATTGCAGCATTATTTACAATGGCCAAGATATGGAACAACCTAAGTGTACATCGATGGATGAGTGGATAAAGAAAATGTGGTATATATATGCGTATACGTATATGTGCATAATGGAATACTACTCAGCCATAAAAAAGAATGGAATTTTGTCATCTGTGACAATATAGATGGACCTTGAGGGCATTATGCTAAGTGAAATAAGTCAGACAGAGAAAGACCAATACTTTATGATTTCATTTATATGTGGAATCTAAAAAACAAAACAACAAAAGCTCATAGGAACAGAGAACAGATTGATGGTAGCCAGAGGGGAGGGGATTGGAGGAGAGACAAATGGGTGAAGGGGATCAAAAGATACAAACTCCCAGTTATAAAATAAATAAGTCATGGAGGTGTAATGTACAACATGGTAACTATAGTTAATACTCTATGGCATATTTGAAAGTTGCTAAGAGTAAATCTTAAGAGTTTTCATCAGAAGAAAAATAGTGTTTGTAACTATATATGATGATGAATGGTAACTAGACTTATTGTGGTGATCATTTGGTAATGTATACAAATACCAATCATGTTACACCTGAAACTAATACAATGTTATATGTTGACTATACATCAATAAAATATTTTTTTAGATAAAATGCCTGGAAGGGGCCGGCCTGGTGGGGCAAGCAGTTAAGTGCGCATGCTCTGCTGCGGCGGCGGCCCGGGGTTTGCTGGTTCGGATCCCCGGTGAGCACTGATTCACTGCTTGTCGAGCCATGCTATGGCAGCATCCCATATAAAGTAGAGGAAGATGTGCACGGATGTTAGCTCAGGGCCAATCTTCCTCAGCAAAAAGAGGAGGATCTGTATCAGATGTTAGCTCAGGGCTGATCTTCCTCACAACGTACATACATACATACATACATACATAAATAAATAGAAAAATCATAGTAAAAAAAGAATATGCAAAAGCGTTTAATGCAATGTGTAATAAGTAATTTATTTTTAAATAATGGTTTATAGTGTATAAAATCATAAAGCATTTTAACATTTTACATACTTTGTCATATTAATCATATGAAATAATACCATAAATCAGAGTAATATCACCTATCTTATATAACTGTCATTAGGGTAAGAGAGATAATATATGTAAAAATGTTAACAAAGTATCTAAAACATAAGTATTCAATAAATATAGATTCTGATGCTAATTATGATGATGTTGATGAAGGTGACAACTTGGCTCCTAAGTCGATGGCAATAAGTTACACTGTATACTTTTAATGATTAATTGTGGACCAAAACATCTGTAGAAGTTGCTGTTTCTTTTGAGGGGGAGGGAGGAGGAAAAGTGCATTTCTTATAGAAATGTTCTCTTCACCAAACTTGTGAAACTTTTACTTCTTGCTTAATTATAATTGTTTTTATAATTTATTCTCTGCAGACCATTGATGCAGTAGAAGCCCTGCCTCCAGAGGAACAGCAATGATGAATATAGGCTTTAATCCTCTTTCTAAGTTGCAGTGATTTAGGGATGTGGTCATAGAAACTTTGTAGTCTTGATTGCCTTTCCTACAAGTCAAAGAGAGAAGACCAATTATTTCCAGACAAAGCCATTATAAACTATTTTATAATCATGGCTATATCCTTCACCCCTTTGTTTCCCAACATTCTGAGGCTGTCAGAAAAAGGAATGAATCCACAGAAGTGATTCAAACTATGGATTTCATCAAAACTATGCAGCTGTAACAAGGGAGACCCTGTTCAGTTCTGAAAACATGAATGTAAACATCCATAAAAATTCTGAGGTATTCTTCAGCAGGCAAGTAGAGATCTTACAATATTCTTCTCTTACAACTGGTGTTATTTGCTCCCATTTCTTTTCTTTTCATCCTCCCTGTCACTATGATTTCCTCCTGTTCTTTCTCCTCATTCTTTCACTTAGTTCCAGCCTTATGCAAAATTTTGTAGTTAACCATATGGGTCCTTAAGTGTCTTCACTTGATGGTTTAGTTTCTGCCTTTCCTGCATTTGCCAGTTATTATCATAGTGGCCTCAAGATGCCCCTCATTTGCTCAAATTGAAACTACCCTTTTATTTGTCTACAGAAAGAGCATGTCCTAGTATTACCCCTTACTCCAAAATCATCTTTCCCTTCTCCACGAAATTCATCAAATTTTCTTCCCTTTGGCATGATTATGGGCAAACAATCTGATTAAAACCCTTCACACAATGTCACCATATTGAAAATTTTAGGCCTTGGTAATTAAAATAATTAATTTGTGTGATAAGATTCTAAAAATTCATTATAAAGAACCACAGAGAAAACACCAACATGAATCCAAAGAGATTTCACTTTCCATTTTCATCCTTGAATGCATATGTCAGAAATTCATCTTTGTCCTTGGTCTAATCCTCCTTAAGCAGTAAATGTATAATAATGAAATAAATGAGAGAAGGAATTAATATTTTGAGCCAGAAAGAACAGCAAATGCAAGTCCGAAGACTCAGGATATTGTCTCATTTCTACCACCGAACTTCTATGAGACTGACAAATTTTAATTCACCTCTCCAAGCCTCAGCCATCAATCTATTAAAAAGAAGCAATAAAATCCCAGTTATCTAAAATTCTTAATATCAAACTTTTATGTATCTTGTAATATGGGATATGAAATATCTCTTGGCACCTAACCTGTGTTTTTTGCCTTCGATCACCTAGATATATGATGCAACCTACATACTCCCAAATAATCAGGTTAGTAAGTAAGAAAATCCCTTCTCTGCAACATGTCCCTATTTTTTCTATATTTCTGGCCTACAAATTCTATTATGAAGTAGGCAATCTTTTGCTGGAGTTGCTTCTCTCAGCTAGTCAAAATTCAGAAGTTCAATATTTCCAGACTACTTGCTGAGCATTTGCTCTCTCTGACTAAACCTTAAGAGAAACACAGTCAATAGTGGTAAATGAAGTCATGTTTTACCCTTCCCCTTACCCACATTAGACCTGTAATAATCTCATTCACTATGGAGCCTGATTTCGTATAGAGATTACGTGAGGCTGATTTCATATTGTTAGAAGCTGATTTGACAATGTGGAGTTGGAGCCAGTGAGTCAGGAGTCATGAGATTTTGGAAAGTGCCTATTATGTAATGATGTTCACTTATTTTAAAATAATTTTATTCCACATATAATACAGTTAGCTCAAAAGAATGTCCTGGCACATAAAAATTAATATAGAATTAGATTTTACTGCAACTCTATTAGCACCTCAAAATACTATTACATTATGAATGGATTAATAACACACAATAAGAGATCTATCCCAAAGGGTGACTTCTAAGAGTCTGTTTCACATGACTTGAATCCACTGTTAGGTTCCCTATGCTGATAGAAGTCCCAAAGGTTTTCCCAAGGTATAAGTCCTCACAATCTTAGTGTGGAACTGATTCTGCTGTAATGAGTGAATATCACACCTGAGCACTTAAATCTTATACAGTTCATCTCAGGAGATATTTATACTTTGAAAATATAACCATTTGTTTGAATTAACAACCCTCCTTGGAAACAAAAGTTAGTTAATGGATATTGACAGGGTATATCCAGGATTAAGATGCAAGGATTAATCATAAAAACTCTATTATTCCAGGTTGAACTGGGGACGTTATGGATCAGAGAAACAAGACCAGAGTCACCGAGTTTATTCTTCTAGGGTTTCAGAATGAAAAAGAAGCAGAAATTCTTCTTTCTTCCACATTCCTGCTCACGTACATGACGTCTCTGATTGGCAACTCCATGATCATCCTTTTGGTGTGTGGTGACTATCGTCTGCATTCACCTATGTATTTCTTTGTAGCCAATCTTTCTTTCCTTGAGATTGCCATCACCTCCACAGTGGTGCCTAAGACGCTTGCCAACATATTTCCCCTCACCAAAGCAATATCTTTTGTGGGATGTCTCACACAGTCTATCTTCTACTTCCTTCTGAGATCCACAGAATTCTTCATCCTGGCTGTCATGTCCTTTGATCGATATGTTGCCATCTGCAACCCACTGAGGTATGCCATCATCATGAACAAACAGACATGTATATTGTTACTTCTGGGATCCTATGTGGGAGCATTTTTGTCAATGTTGGCTCCATCTATCTTAACTGCACCCATAATCTTTTGTGGGCCAAATAAAATCCAACATTTCTTCTGTAACAGAGCCCCCCTGCTAGCACTGGCTTGTACAGATATCTCTCTGGCTGAGATGGCTGACTTTATTGCCTCTGCTGTTTTGCTCTTGGGCTCCTTGTTCCTGACAGGAATGTCTTACACCTACATTGTTATTACTATCCTTAGAATCCCCTCTGTTCAGGGACGGCAGAAAGCATTCTCTACTTGTGTTTCACACATCACCGTGGTTACACTTCATTATGGAAGCTCCATCTTCCTCTATGTTCGCCCAAAAAAGGGCAATGCAACAAATTTGCCACAGTGCTGAATACCATTTTAACACCAATGTTGAACCCTTTCATCTATAGCCTTCGAAATGAGAAAGTCAAAGAATCCCTGAGAGATGCCTTCAGTAAATATGTAAGTATGCTAATAAATTTAAGACCTCAAAAGTGATATTTTTTTTAGACATCAATGATGTTGCATGCTTGACAACAAAATCATTCTTATTGATGTAATTTTTTAAAGGTTTTAAATAATGTAAAAAAAACTTTTTAAAAAAGCTTTAAATAAATCTTTTAAATAAAAAGGTTTCAGGGCCGGCCCCGTGGCTTGGTGGTTAAGTGAGCACGCTCCACTGCTGGCGACCCGGGTTCGGATCCCGGGCTCGCACCGACGTGCTGCTTCTCTGGCCATGCTGAGGCCGCGTCCCACATACAGCAACTAGAAGGATGTGCAGCTGTGACACACAACTATCTACTGGGGCTTTGGGGGGAAAAATAAATAAATAAAATCTTTAAAAAAAAAAAAAAAGGTTTCAAATCTGGACAGCTCTGCTTGAGATAGGTTCTCACCTATTATTACACAATTCACTAATAACTTTTTCCCTATCAATATATCTTTGCTTTTAATACAGATAGAGTCCCTTATTACAAAATAATGGTAAATTCCTTTTGACTTGATTTTTAAAATATAACCTATAAAATTATTTATCCCATTAGATATTTACATTTTAAATAATATATGTGATAATTATTTATTTAATTATCACATATATTATTTAAAACGTTCATAGATATTTACATTTTAAATTATAGACTGATCTTCTCAAGCCTCCATGTAAGTTATGATCTGTAGCAGTTATGCTTCTATTTCTGTGGCATAGATGCTGATCTACCTGTGGCAAAGGAATTCATCAGAACTTACAAGCCCCTGCTGAACATGCAGAGAAGGATTGGCCACCAGGAAACTGTCAGAGAGGTGTATTCATGTTACCTTTCAGAACCAGTGGAAATGACTTCAGCTACACATTTTTTCACATAATGAGATTTATCTTAAAGTCTAATAATGACCTGGAAATTTCATGATGACGGAGATTACATTTGAATAAGCAGTCAAATTATCTTAATTAAATGTGAGGAAATTGGCCCAAGGATGTATTCATTTGAACATGAAAGAAGATCCACTCTTGTTACGTGAATTATTTATTTCACAATAGCTGAATTCTCTCTTGTAAGAAATGTGATTTCAAAAGAATACTGTTGGATGGGATAAGTTTATTAAAATATACACATCATGAAGATATGATCCCATCTTTGTCTGATCTCCTAAGACTCTTGCAGTGCTTCTTGCATGCCTCAGCTGTGTTATGGAAACTAGGATATAAAGATCTACAGTCATCTGCACTTAATTTGCCAATTATTTCCAGCTTATTTCAAGTCTATCAATTCTAATTTCCAACTATTAACTCATCATATCTTCTATATCTTTGACTACACATCTTGATTCTCTTTTCCTGAAAAAAAAAATCAATATTAGTAGTAATCTTTTCAATGGTTCTGTCTCTTCTCAGTTCTCTCTCATCTCCTGTCTAGACTTCCAGAGCACTTCTGGAGCCATCCACAGTGCTCAAGGCATTACTGGTTAGTGGAAGAGCTGTAGAATAATTCTTTCAAACGTGACCATTGGTATTATTTTTTCTGTACTATAATGAATATAACCTGGAAATATAATTAGGGTTTGTATGCAAACAAGCATGAACTCTCTGAAGAAAAACAGCTCTATAGCAGTGGGCCAGCTTGCTGACCAGAAGAGATATAGGCTGCCTGCAAATAGTCTCCTCCTTTCTACTCAATTAGACTTAGATAAGGTAGACCTCACTTCACCTTCTGTGGGTAATGCATATTCTTGGAATTCAATATCAACTGGTGTGTCCTCTGTTAATTTAACATGTATCACAGAATTGAAATTGGGTGGTAAATTCTTTCCCAGATGTCATGATGTTTCTTGAGGACACTTATGATGACTGTATTGTTCATTTTTGTATCTCCATTGCTGGCTAAGTATGTTTTCCTTAGTTGCATATGAGACAAATCACACCAGGGCAGAGATTCTTGTCTTTTAAATTCATTATTGTATCTCTATTATCTATAAAAGTGATTGAGGACTATTAGTTGTAGATAAATAGTGATTGAATTAGCAAATAAATGAAAGAATGAATTCTAAGTGGTCGATACGTACTTACTAATTAATAAGGTGACTAAATACTAACCAGTCAATATGTATTTTTACTGGATTAACATTTAATTTTTAAAAATTTTTTATTATTTTATAATCAAACCAGTTACACTGGTTTATAACATTGTGCACATTTCAGGTGTACATCATTATATTTTGGCTTCTGTATAGACTGCATCATGTTCACCATCAAAAGTCTAGTTTTCATCCATCACCATACACGTAGACCCTTTACTCCTTTTGCCCTCCCCCCACCCCCTTTCCCACTGGTAACCACCAATCTGTTCTCCTTATCTACGTGTTTGTTTATCTTCCACATGTGAGTAAAATCCTAGGGTATTTTCCCTTGTCTGACTTATTTTGCTTAGCATAATACTCTCAAGGTCCATCCATGTCATTGCAAATGGCATGATTTTGTCCTTTTTTATGGCTGATTAGTATTCCATTGTATAGATATATACCACATCTTCTTTATCCATTCATCTGTTGATGGGCACTTACATTACTTCCAAGTCTTGGCTATTGTGAATAATGCTGCAATGAACATAGGGGTGCATATATCTTTTCCAATTAGTGTTTTCATGTTCTTTGGATAAATACCCAGAATTGGAATAGCAGGATCAAAAGGTATTTCTATTTTTAATTTTTTGAGAAATCTCCATACCGTTTTCCATAGTGGCTGCACCAGTTTGCATTCCCATGAGCAATGTATGAGGGTTTCCTTTTCTCCATATCCTCTTCAGTCTCAGAAGCTAAAAATTTTATATATGCTTTGTAATAGTACCTGAAACACTTCCCAGGATATTTAAATTAGCTGTCTTCATTTGAACCTCCTCGTTATTAGTCTGTTCATGTTTTCAATTTCTTCATCATTCAGTCTTGGTCAGTTGTATATTTCTAGGAATTTATCAATTTTTTTTCTAGATTATCCAATTTGTTGGTGTATAATTCGTTCATGGCATTCTCTTGATTTGTATTTCTATGACATCTGTTGTAATGTCTCCTCTTTCATTTTGAATTTTATTTGAGACTTTTCTGGGTTTTTTTCTTAGTCTAGGTAAAGCTTTGTCAATTTTCTTTATCTCTTCAAAAAGTCAATCATTAGTTTTGTTGATCTTTTCTATTGTTTTTCTACTCTTTCTTGATTTATTTGTGTATTCTTGTTACACTTGTTAAAGATCAGTTGTTTGTATATGTGTAGATTTATTTCTGGGTTTTCTATTCTGTTCCATTGATCTATGTGTTCATGTTTTTTATTCCAGTATCATACTGTTTTGATTACTGTACCTTTGTAATATATTTTGAAATCAGGACTGTTAACGCCTCTAGATTTTTCCTATTTTCTCATGATCCATTTAGCCATTCTGGGCCTTTTGTTGTTTCATATGAATTTTTAGATTTTTTTTACATCTGTAAAAAATAACATTGGAATTTTTATGAGAATAGCATTGAATCTGTAGATCACTTTGGGCAGAATGGACATTTTAACAATATTAAGTCTTCCAATCCATGCACATGGAATATTTTCCAATTTATTTGTGCCGTCTCTAAATTCTTTCATGAATATATTGTAGTTTTTACAGTACAAATCTTTCACCTCTTTGGTTAATTTTATTTGTAAGTAGTTTATTTTTTGTTTGTTTTGTTTTTTGTTTTATTGAGGTAACATCGGGTTATAACATTATATAAATTTCAGATGTACAACATTACATTTTGATTCCTGTGTAGTTTACATCATGTTCACCACCTAAAGGCTAATTACCATCCATCACCATATACATGTGCCTAATCACCTCTTTCACTCTCTGCTCTCCCCCCTTCCCCTCTGGTAACCACCAATCTAATCTCTGTATCTGTGTGTTTATTTGTTGTTGTTTTTATCTTCTATTTGTAAGTGAGATCATACAGTATTTGACTTTTTCCATCTGACTTATTTCACTTAGCATAATACCCTCAAGGTCGATCCATGTTGTCACAAATGGCTGGATTTCATTTTTTATAGCTGAGTGTATTCCATTGTGTATATATACCAAATCTTCTTTATCTATTTGCTCCTTGAAGGGCATTTAGGCTGTTTCCAAGTGTTGGCTATTATGAATAATGCCACAATGAACATAGGGGTGCATATATCTTTATGCATTCATGTTTTCATTTTCTTTGGAAAAATACCCAGCAATGGAATAGCTGGATCGTATGGTAGTTCTAGCACTAATTTTTTGAGGAATCTCCACACTGTTTTCCATAGTGGCTGCACCAGTTTGCACTCCCACCAGCAGTGTATGAGAGTTCCTTTTTCTCCACATCCTCTCCAACACTTGTTGTTTCCTGTCTTGTTAATTATAGCCATTCTGACAGGTATGGGGTGATATCTCATTGTAGTTTTAATTTGCATTTCCCTGATAATTAGTGATGTTGAACATCATTGCATGTGCCTGTTTGCCATCTGTATATCTCCTTTGAAAAAATGTGTTTGGATCTTTTGCCCATTTTTTAGTTGGGTTGTTTGCTTTCATTGTTGAGATGTATGTGTTCTTTATATATTTTGGATATTAACCCCTTATCAGATATATGGTTTGCAAATGTGTTCCTCTAATTGGTAGGTTGTCTTTTGGCTTAGTTGATGGTTTCCTTTGCTGTGCGAAGCTTTTCAGTCTGATGTAGTCCCATTTGTTTAATTTTTCTATTTTTTCACTTGCCCAGTCAGATGTGGTACTTGAATATAGACTGCTAAGACTGATGTCGAAGAGCATACTGCCTATGTTTTCTTCTAGAAGTTTCATAATTTCAGTTCTTACATTCAAGTGTTTATAATCCATTTTGAGTTAGTTTTTGTGCTTTGTGTAAGATAATAGTCTACTCTCATTCTTTTGCATGTGTCTGTTCAGTTTTCCCAACACCATTTATTGAAGAGAATTTCTTTTCTCCATTGTATGTTCTTG